TATATATTACTTATTATTTGTGTCAAATCTAACAGAATTTAAATAGCAAATAAAAATAATCAAATATGTTTATAGATTTTGAAAAATATAGATTATGCTAATTTTACAAGTCTTATTATTACTATTATCATTAAAATCTCGTTACTACTAACATTATTGCTATTATTATTATTATCATTATAATGATATTAATGGTAAAAATTGTACCATTAAATATTATTTTTTTATTTGATTTCCATCACATTTTATCATTTTTATGAAATTAAAATATGAACTAAAGTAAAATTTAAGTATTATTAAATATTATTTGTTATACCATCTACTTAATACTATATAATAATTATCATTACAATTTTAATAATCAATAAATAAACATTCAACAATAAAACTAAATTTGTGAATTTTATAAAATTAGGATATTAAAATTATAAAATTAAAAAGAGAGTCAAAAATTATATATTTGATATTATAAAGAGATCAAAAATATAATTTAGTCAACTTTTTTTCTATGAACAAAAAATTAGATGTTAGAAAACTAAAATGTTGAAAAAAAAGTTAATAGTGAAAATTGATAAAAAAATAGAAATTAAAATTAAAAATTCAGAGATTAAAATTAAAATTGAAAAAAGTTGAATAACTAAAAAATATATTTAATCACATGTCTCGTAAAGAAACATTAAAAACTAACGTTCAATGTTGAATAAATACGAAGTTGTCATTTTCCTCTATATGTCGTACTTTCCAGTCTTTCACTCATTACACAGTAATAATAGTTTTCAAACCTTCTATCAATCATTACTTGTGAATGCCATACATCAAAATGTGCATCTTTCTCAATTTTAACGTTGAATTCTTGCAATCCACTACAACCACTTTTCTACCAAAACAAAATACACTCCTACATTAATTAACCCTGAAAATTTAAAGAAAAAACATAATCATATGACGTTATAGGTGACATTTCTGAGGTAACTTTGATCAACTTCTTACATCATATAACTTGAGAGTACTGTTTGGGGTTTGGTAATTTTAATAGCACTTTGACTAGTTTTGCTTTCAATTAATACTATCACAACGACGCCCGTAGAATTTGCTTTGAATCAATGAATTGTAACATAAACTAGTAAAATAAAGCATAGTTAAATCAATTTTTACTTATTTACAAAATGTTAATAATACATTTTTTTCAATATATCTTTTATGATCGACTAAAATATTTATTAAAAGGTAAACTTGTTAAAAAGAGTGAAATAAAAATGTATTACTTTTTATTAAAAATAAATAAATAAAGGCTTTGTTACCTTTGACAAGAAAAGGCCAATAGGTACAGGAAAGA